CTAGCCAGCGTTCGCGGGGCGCTGCTGGCTGATGGTGCTAGGGTGCTGCCAGCCCGCTGCTGCCGCTGTGTGCGGGCAGCGTGGCCACGACCGGCCCTTGCCGGCCGTATGGCGACTTCCTCCGGCAACTTCAACATAAATCAACATGAGATGACTTAATATGGTCAAATATACTGAACTTACTCAAAACTCATGCACTTTGTTTGATAAAGCGCCGTGGTGTGCGCTACGGGCGCTACCATCGGCTTAAGCCCAATCCTCGGCCAAACCTCAATTTCCCTCGACCATTACAGGTTGACTGATCATAAAATACTATTTAAAGGCTATTAAGACTGGGATTATTCGAACAATTCTGATCATATTAAAAGGTAACGTGATAGGGCACAAGATGGCCCCGTGAGCGTGCACTACCGACTTCCATAGGCCAAATCATGGACAAAACCACAACTTATCTCGACCTATATTTTTATACTGAACTCATGAGGACATAGCATGATAAAATAAACATGAATTGCACAGGAGTTGCCGGATAAAACATGAACTTACTCGGTCATAGCCTAACATGGCCTTAACCAAGCATAACTTGCTATTTACATGCATTTCTGGACATGAGCTGTACAAACTGACTTGAACATGATCTAACTAACATGAAAGGATACTGAACATGAAGTTACCTTCTCAGTTGCTCGGAGAATTTCCCATGAACGGACATAATTTCTCGTCTCTGGGCCTATGCGCGTGCGTGTGTGATTAGGGCTAATATTAGGCTTATTACTTGCTGAGTGTATGGCTTCGACCCCAATTGCTGACTTATAATGAAGGAAAAACGTGATGAGGTTGGGATGGAGAGCTCAGCCAATGGCCGTGTGCCATTTGCTGCGTGAAGATGGCCTTAGGTGGCCCTTTGGTGCTTACTCACCAACCCAAGGGCTTAGTCATGTCCTAAACTTGCTACCAGCCTCCCGTGTGGCATAAGATGATGACAATGCACGAGAAGATTGGTGAGTTTTGAATTCTCGGCGATTAGTTCGGCTAAGCACGTTTAAGATGATGACAATGCACGAGAAGATTGGGGAGTTTTGAATTCTCGGCGATTAGTTCGGCTAAGCACGGCTTAAACGTGCTAAGGACGTGATTATGCGTTCTAATGGACGTACAAAGCATGCTCAATGCTAAGCTAAACATGATTACTTTTAAACATGATTAACCTTATCTAATCCTTATTAATGTTAGTTAATCAACATTAACATTAAGCTAACCATGATTAAGCTAAATACGATTAATTAGCTTAAACATGGATTAAGTTAATTAATCAGGGGCTAATGACCACTTAATTAACGATGGGCGGTGTACTAATGTGAACGCGTCGCTGTATAGGAATGACGACGTTTATATATGGTAACATTAACCGAACGTACTCGTTTTCGGTTACAACTTGACCTCGGAACCTTATCTTGACTTAGACGATTAATCCGAACATTAATAATTCGAATAGTTCGTCAACTTGGCTTATTAATTCCGAACTCATTAATTAATTAAATAAATCAGAATTAAATCTGAAAACTTATTGACTAATAGTCGAACTTGGAATATGACTGACTGAATCACTTGAACTTGAACATAAACATTATTATTTATTAACAAAGGCTAGCTTTAAAATTAAAAGCTATTATTTTCCTTTATTAATAAACTCGGGGTATAACAAGCTTGGCTGGGTCTCTCCATGAGTCTAGATCCGTCTTTATGGTAGAATGTTCTTGACACCTACATCGACACCTACAATGAATGAAAGATAAATAAAAATAAGATATAATAAAAAAGACGTGATTATAACAATAACATCATAGCAACAAATGTTTATCACAGTTTCACTTCCAACTATATGACATAACTTCATGCCCCATTAGTGACTTAATCACACTCCCATATAATTAATGATACATTTAACCAGTTTGGTTACTTACAAGAAATACTTACAAGAAATGATAAATATGTAAGGAATCAGAATTAACCCATTGCATATATAAAATATTTGACTTATGACTTATCAGTTATACGACTTCTCACTTATCACTAGATTAAAAAATTATATATGACTTATCAAACCAGAACATAATGTCCTCTACTCAAACGAACAAACATACTGATATGTTTATGAAGATTGCCAACGACAATCAAAAACTCAAACTTTCAAAGCATGAATCCATAAGTTAACCTAAAGAAGGTAGCATTATAAAATAATTTTGGAGTTGAAAATTTGACATCAAACTTGGTACAAGCACATTTTAGTTTCTTATAAGAGAATATCAACATGAAAGGTTTGAAGTTGTAACGTAATGTATAATAGTAACCACCAGAATTAAAATAAGTAATTCATATAAACATATACTTACATTAAGATGTTGGAAGTTGGCTTGTGTGGCCAAGATTTTGAAGCATTGTAGGAAGCTGGGACCTAAGAATATCTTGCACTTGAGTTGCAACTTGAGTTTGCACTTGAATTTCTTGATTGCTTAGTTGTGTTTCCAAAGACTGCAACCGTGAAGCCATCTCTTCACTTTGTTTCTTTAATTCTTCATTTTCTTTTCGCAGCTCCTCATTGACTCCATTTCCTCTTTCTTTGGTTGGGTCTTTCCAAAGGTAAGTGGACTTAGGTGGGCTAACTTTTCCACAACATCATCTCCTGTCAAAGGAAATGGTTTATTCCTCTTCTCTTTCTTACTGTCAAAAGCGGCTTTTAAATCACGCCATTTATGGTCATGTGGTAGAAATCAGCGATGATTCATGTAGCATAATTTTTTCCCATTTTGCAACCAAAGACTACAAGTGTTCTCATTACATACCGGACATGCCAAATACCCTTTTGTGCTGCATCCTACAATTCTATAGGCTGGAAAATCATTTATAGTCCACAATAAAGCTGCACGCAAGTTGAAATTTGTATCAGTGAAGGCATCATAAGTAGTAACTCCTTGGCTCCACAAGTCTTTCAGCTCATCAATCAGTGGTTGAAGGAAAATATCTATATCATTGCCAGGTGATGTTGGACCAGGGATAAGCATTGATAAAATGAAGAAAGGAGATTTTAAGCACATCCACGGTGGCAAATTGTACGGCATAAGAATTACTGGCCATGTGCTATAAGATATGCTCATATTTGAGAAAGGATTAAAACCATCAGTTGCTAACCCGAGTCTAACATTACGAGGGTCTTGGGAAAAAGACTCATGCATGTTGTCGAAATCTTTCCAATCTTGAGCATCGGCTGGATGCCTTAGCATCCCATCATCCAAGCGTTTTTCCTTGTGCCACCTCATATCTTCTGCTGTTTTCTTAGATATGAATAACCTTTGCAATCTCGGCTTTAACGGAAAGTAGCACAAGATTTTTTGCGGAATTGTCTTACGCACTTTTTCACTTTTATCATCACCAGCTTCAGTGAATTTATATCTAGAAGCTGAACATACGGGACATTATACTGCTTTTTCATGTTCCTTTCTGAATAGCACACAGTCATTCACGCAAGCATGAATTTTCTCATAATCCAATCCAAGATCCCGTATAATCTTTTTTGCCTCATAATATGACTGCGGCAACACCTCACCACTCGGAAGTGCTTTTTTCAACAATTCAAGCAACATTGAGAATGATTTATTGCTCCATCTTCCAACAATCTTTAAATGCATGAGTGTTACCACAAATGACAATTTGGTGAAATTTTTACAACCCGGATATAATTCCTTATCCACATCTCTTAACAACCTCATGAATTTTTCAGATTCCCATTGTGGCACTGCATTTTCATCCATTGTCGATTGGTCTCCACCCCAGGCATTTGTTCTTGTTGCTGTATAACAGTCTTCTAACACGCTTTGCATGTCAACATAGTCAGCCAGATTTCCTCCAATACCACCTCTTTCTGTTTCATCCAAATCACATTCGACATTGTTTTCTTCTTCTTCAAAGTCAAAAGCATCATCATCTGACTCATCAGATTCCTCACCATGAAACTCCCATTTAGTGTAATGCTTAACTATGCCATTCTCGAGTAAATCAGCTTCAACATCATCTCGACTTTGGTACAAGACGTTGTTACATTTGCGACAAGGACACCTAATTTTATCCCCTGATTCTGTTGATAAATATGCAAAATCTAGAAACTCTTGAACTCCTTTTTGATATTGAGGAAGTGTCCTGTTGTCGAGCTACATCCAACTTTTATCCATTATATAATCCTACAAATAAAAAAAGAATTTATATGTCAATTCCACTTGAAATTAAAATAATACATATTGAATACACACTGCACATAGAACATAGAAAAATATTGAGTTATAAAACTACAGACAATATAGTTAGGAATATTTTTCATAATGACTATTTTAATTAAAATTTCCCCAATGATCGGAGAGTTACTTGATTACAAAATGACGTTGTTCTGATTAACATTTAAATCCAATGAAACAATAGTACAATACAACAATTCGTCTACTTGATTCGGAAATCCAAACATCAATACATAGTAATCCCCTCTATCTATAATTCTCGAATGTGCTTAGACTAAGTGGCAGACTCATATATATATATATATATATATATATATATATATATATATAATTGTAGGTTACTACACTAATGCAATAGCCTACTTTTTTCCGTCCATATTTTTGAGTTATTTATAGTATGTTTCAACTTCTATTTTATTTGTAGTTACATCTATTAATTTATAACTAATATTTTAATCATATATATTCAATAAAGTTGCAATGGTTGTCTTAAAATTAGTATAATTGCACTATTTGTTAATTTGGTAAGTAACATTACATATTTTATGTAACTGTTACAATAGGATATTATTTCTTCTAGCAATTAGTACAATAAATTTTATTTGTAAGGCAATTATTAGAAGTAAAGTAATACATAGATTTGAATTTGCCTTAGAAATGAATTTGTAAAAATAAATTACAATCATATCTATTATATTGCGATCATTTGTAGGGATTTCATTATTAATTCATAAAAAATCCTACCTATTTTTTTCTTCAGTCATTTTAATATTAATGTTAGTTTTATTAACTTATGTTATTTTTTTCAATTATTATTCAAAATTAATTTCTTAATTGTTGTAACATAGATGAATTTTATACATTAGTCTATTGAGATGCAATGGTTCTTTATTTTACCAGCATATTTGTGAAAAAAAGCATAAAATCATTCTTATTATTTGTGAAAAAAACATAAAATCATTCTTATTATGTGTTCTAATAATATTAAAACATATGATGTGTTCTAATAATCTAGGCACCACCATGGAAGAGAAAAAAAGAAGAGAAAATATCACTGTTTGAAATTAAAAGCACATCACAACACACTGCAGCACAACAACAATTAACAACATAGCAGCAATTGAAATATATTTTAATTTCATTTCATGAAGATATTTTGGTGGTGGACAAGAAATTAACAGCATAGCACCAATTCAAACCACAATTCAAAAGAAATATATTTCACTTTTAAGAAAGATATTTAAGTTTTTAACATCATCTCAAGTCCTTAACATCTAACTCTAACACGTGAACCATTTTTTTATTAAAAAAAATTGTAATTACCATTAGAATCTGAAAGTGGAGTCGATTTCGGAGGCAATACGTCGAGGCGGAGCAACCGAAGCTTTTGTGGCAGACTTCGGCGGTGAGGAGATGGTGTCGAGGCGCTGGAGTGCGATGGGCGTGAGGATTGAGAAGAGGAAACGGTCGTGAAGAGTGAAGACTGAGTAGAGGCGACGGGCGTGATGACTGAGAGAGGCGACGACAACGACAGAAGAAAATCGACGGGCCTGAGAGACAGAGGGTTGGGCAATTGCGGCTGTGCGTGAGTAGAGTAAAGACCAAAAATTGTAAACCTATCTCTATTGTATTTACTTTATAATTTATATACGATATATAATTTACATAAAAAAAATAAAATTAAAAAGCTTATTATCTTTAATTGAACTCTAAAAAATATAGTAATAATAAAATTGTATTTTCTAAGATAAACTTTTGTGACAGTAAATAGTTGTCACAAAAATTATCATTACTATTGTGATGACTAATATAACCTAAAAATTTGACAATAAATTTTTAGTGATGAAATATAGTGACAATAAAAAATTTTGTCTCTATATCTTAACACTTCTAACTATAGTGACATAAAAATACATGTCACATTATTTATTTGAAATTTAGTCATGATATTAGTTACCGTCACTATTTAACGTAACAATTGTGACAATTTTTTTTTTCCACTACGGCTAAATAAATGGCGCCAAATTTTTAGTGACAATGTGTAGTGGCAATAATTAAAATTGTCACTAATATTTATCATTCTCAAACCATAGTGACACCGAATAAAATTGTCACAATAGACATATTTTCAGTGACGATATTTGTAATGTCACTAATTTTTTCGTCACTACATGTGTTATTTCTTGTAGTGGATGTCGGTGAATTTAAGTTAGTATTGTTTTGAGGATGTCAATATTAACAGTTAAATTCAAAATGTTTAATCAGTAAAATATTTTCGTAATTCTCAGGTTTATTCATCATGTCGTTCAATCCGTTGTCTGTTATCCTAAAAGAAAATCAACTCACCGGTCCTAATTACATTGATTGGAAAAGGAACTTAGACATAGTGCTGACTGCTGAAAGCTATAAGTATGTGCTAACTGAGGCTTGTCCTGATGTGCCGGCTGATGATGCCCCAGATGAGGAGAAACAGGAGTATGCTCGGTGGAAGAAGGCTGATGAGATGGCGAAGTGTTACATTCTGGCTTCTATGTCAAATGTCCTTCAACATCTGCATCAGTCAATGGCCACTACTGCAGATATGCTTCTGAACCTCAAGGAACTGTTTGGGCATCAATCGAGGGCTGCAAGACAAGAGGCTTTAAGTGCTCTGATGAACACGCGCATGGCAGAGGGTACACCCGTAAGGGAGCATGCTCTCAAGGTCATGGCGCAGCTGAATGAGCTAGAGGTTCTTGGAGGTTTTATTGACGGGGAAACCCAGGTCGATATCATGCTCCAATCTCTGCCGAAGAGTTTTGATCAGTTCCGGTTGAACTATAACATGCACAAGATGCATATGGCTCTTCCAGAACTATTGTCAGAACTCCAGTCGGCTGAGGCCTTGTTCACTCATAAATCAGTTGTGATGGTTGCCGAGCAAGCCGGACCTTCCAGGCCTCACAAGGGCAGGAAGAGGAAGAGGAAGATGGCTGCAGGAAAGGCAAAGGCACAGAGCACCCAGTTAGTGCCTCAACAGGCTGTGGCAAAGAAGCCGAAAGGTAGATGCCACAAATACAATAAGTCAGGAAACTGGAAGGTCGATTGTCCTCTCCTCAAGAAGGGCAAAGAAGGTAACTCTCATACTTTCCTCGTAGAAACATGTTTAGCGGTTGTATCTACCAGTACCTGGTGTGTAGATACTGGAGCCACTGATCATGTCTGCAATTCTTTGTAGGGGTTCCAGGAAACCAGGCGGCTTAGGAATGGAGAAATTACAGTCTACCTGGGCAATGCTACGAAAATAGCAGCAGTTGTAGTGGGAGTAGTTACTTTAGTATTTGATGCTAGTATTTTGGTTTTGAACAATTGTCTTTTTGTTGCAAGTTTTAGGAAGAATTTAATTTCAGTTTCTAAACTCGTTTTGAATGGTTATTCAGTTTCGTTTAATAACTCAGTTGTTATTCGTTATGGTAATCATTTGATTTGTTCTGGTTCAATGGTTGGCAATTTATATATTCTGAAACCAAAGTCTCCCACACTGCAACAAAATGAATCGAATAATGTCTCGACTAAAACTAATAAGAGAAAAGAGTCTTCGATGAATCAAGCATATTTTGGCACCTTAGGCTTGGGCACATCAACCTTAGGAGGATTCAAAGGTTGGTATCTACTGGGCATCTTGGTACTGTAGAAGATCATTACCAGACTTCCGAGTCCTGCCTAGAAGGTAAGATGACCAAGAGGCCATTTTCGGCAAAGGGGCGAAGGAGCCAAGAAGTGCTAGGATTGATTCATTCTGATATGTGTGGTCCTATGTCGATCCAAGCTGGAGGAGGCTATGAGTATTTTGTCATTTTTATTGATGATTATTCTAGATATGGGTACGTTTACTTGTTGCACCGCAAGTCCGAATGCTTTGAAAAATTCAAGGAGTATAGGACAGTTGTGGAGAAACAACAAGGTAAAAATATCAAGTGTCTTCGATCTGATCGAGGAGACGAATACCCCTTTGGAGAGTTTAGGACATACCTATCAAAAGCAGGGATTGAATCCCAGCAGACTGCACCCGGCACGCCCCAGCAAAACGGGGTTGCAGAGCGAAGAAACAGAACTCTTATGGAAATGGTTAGGCCGATGATGAGTTATTCGAAGTTACCAGATTCGTTTTGGGAATTTGCATTAGAGACAACATGTTACATTCTGAATTCTTTTCCTTCAAAATCAGTAGACAATACTCCTTATGAGTTGTGGAAAGGGCGCAAGACTAGTTTCTCACAAATTCGAATTTGGGGTTGCCCTGCACATGTCTTAGTGCAGGAGGCTGGCAAGTTGGATAAACGATCAGAAGTGTGACTGTTTGTCGGCTATTCCAAGGAAACGAAAGGTGGTTTATTTTATAGTCCTGAGGATCTGAAAGTGATCGTTAGTACAAACGCTAGATTCTTGGAAGAAGACTATATCATAGATCATAAGCCCAGTAGTAAACTTGTCCTAGAGGAGTTAGGGAAAGATATCGATAGTTTCCCACCGAGTGCGCAAGTAGATACATCACATAGTACTGCAACACGTAACACTGATAGTGTGTCAGTACAGACGGTACCTCGTCGTAGTAGGAGGGTTTCTACACAACCCGACCGATGGATAGGTCTTGGAGAGTCATCGGACTCAGTTCCAGGAGACCTAGAATCGGACCCAACTCCAAGATAGAGATGCAAATTCGTGGAAGGTTGCAATGAAAGCTGAGATGGGGTCTATGGACACCAATCAGGTCTAGGATCTTGTAGAACCACCCGATGGGATACGTCCCGTTGGATGTAGGTGGGTTTACAAGAGAAAGAGGGGATCGGATGGAAAGGTGGAAACCTTTAAAGCTAGGCTTGTTGCAAAAGGTTATACACAGAAAGAGGGTATCGATTATGATGAAACCTTTTCGCCAATAGCTATGCTTAAATCCATTCGGATTCTCTTAGCTGTAGCCACTCATATGGATTATGAAGTGTGGCAGATGGATGTTAAGACGGCTTTCCTTAATGGGAACCTTCAGGAAGACATCTATATGCAGCAACTAGAAGGATTCATTGCAAAAGGGCATGAGCACTTAGTTTGTAAGCTTAATCGGTCTATTTCTGGACTGAAGCAAGCCTCAAGGTCTTGGAATATTCGGTTTGATGAGGTAATCCAGTCATGTGGATTCACCCAATGTCCGGATGAGCACTGTGTATACAAGAAGATTAGTGGAAGCGTGGTGGTGTTTCTTGTGCTATACGTGGATGACATACTTCTTATTGGCAACAACAAGAAGGAGTTGTCGGACGTAAAGGCGTGGTTGTCTAAGCAGTTTGATATGAAGGACTTGGGTGAAGCAGGACACATTCTTGGTATCAAGATCATTCGTGATCGTGAGAAGAGAATGATGTGCTTATCCCAGTCTTCATATATAGATACTGTCTTGGCTAGATTCAGTATGCAGAACTCTAAGAGAGGTACATTACCTTTCAGACATGGAGTACCTTTATCTAAGGAGTTGTCTCCCAAGACGACTAAGGAGATAGAGGACATGAAGACAGTTCCTTATGCTTCGGCAGTAGGAAGTCTCATGTATGAAATTCTGTGCACTAGGCCTGATATTAGCTACGTCGTTGGCATGGTAGCGAGATATCAAAGTAATCCAGGACGGGAACATTGGGCTGCGGTGAAACATATACTCAAGTACCTGCGAAGGACTAAGGAGTACATGTTAGTTTACCGGGCAGACAGTTTGTCTCCACTGGGTTACAACGATCCTGATTTTCAGTCAGATAGGGTTGAGAGTAAGTCAACCTCAAGTTATGTGTTTACCTTGGGAGGTGAAGCCATTTAATGGAGGAGTGCTAAGCAAAAGTGCGTAGCAGACTCCACTATGGAAGCCGAGTACATCGCAGCCTCTGAGGCAGCGAAAGAGGCAGTTTGGCTCAGAAACTTCTTGGTGGACTTAGAAGTGATTCCGAGTTTGCCACGTGTTATTACCGTGTACTGTGATAACAGTGGTGCAGTAGCAAACTCAAGGGAACCACGAGCCCATAGAGCAAGCAAACACATAGAGCGCAAATGCTACCTTATCAGAGATATTGTGGCAAGAGGAGAAGTTGAGATCACCAAGATTGCATCAGAAGACAACCTAGCTGATCCTTTTACGAAGAGTTTGCCGGAGAAGGTCTTCGCCAAACACGTAGAGGGAATGAGAGTCAAATGTATGGTGATAGGATCGACATAGGTCTTTTAGGATATGGATTGATAGGATTATACTAGTAAAGCGACAACTTTAAGTATAAGTGGGAGATTGTTGGTGTTATATACTTAAGCTTTGCTTTAGTGGATATTACACTTGTTATTTCTTGATGAATGCGAATTATGTTTGGTTAAATAAGTTCCACGTTCTGTTGTTTTGCATGTAGATAAGTGGGTCGTCATCGGGCATACCGAAGATCACTATATCAGTTACTTGCGAAACAAGAATCATTGGTTCACAACCTAGATAGAATTGAACAACCCATCGGAACGGTTGTAGTGTCAACCGTACGGTTTGTCTTGACCGATTAGTTGCACTAGTACATTTATGTATTGAACAGGATCCCAGAGAGGGATGTTCGTTTTATACTGATCGTCGTAAACGAACTAGGCTTCAGTTAATTATTGCGTGCTCTTAACCCGTAAGATATTAAATAGGCATGTGCACATAATTGTTGTTGCTTTGATTCTTTGGGTGAGATCCAAGCCGGGTCGACATACTTAATGAATTGGGTAATGACATTATGTGTTCGATGTGCTATTAGGATATTTACGGTCACCATGTGCGTTAGTATGATGATGTCCCCGAAGTGAGTTCATGAAGGAATATTATGCTAAACCCTGCAGGTGGATTTATTCCGGCATAATATGAATGCTATGAGCGAGCGCTAGCTTCGGTAATATAATATATTAATTAATTGTTGATTATTAGTGATCGAATTAATTAATGGACATTATATCTTAAACATGGGGAGGTAAATCGGATAATTATAATAAGGAGTCTCAAATGTAATTTGGGATAGGTGAGGGGAGTGCAATAATATTATTGTGGTGGACTTTAATATTATTAATATATTAATTGTGGGGTTTCTCCACAGTATTAATATATTAGAAGCCCTTATCCTATTCTCCTTAGGGTCCCTACTGTAGCTCTATATATACAGCATTAGGCTCATGGAAGAGAAGGAACAATCCCACAACCTTGGGAAACACGTCCATCCCTCTCTCTCTCTTCCAAGGAGTAGTTCTATTTCTTGTGCTCCACTGATACAAGATCTAGATAGCTGTTTGAGAATACAGTAGAAGATCTTAAGGTATATACGGGATTCCAATCAGATCTATCATACATCCAAACCGGAGACCAAAACAAGCAAGTGACTATACCACGACGACCAGGAAGACGAGACGAAGAGATCGCCGTCGAGATCGCCGCCAGCCGCCGCCGCATGCGCCGCCGGAAGGGAGCAGCTGCTGGAGCTTACTCGCGCGCGTGAGAGCCCGTAAACCGTCTGATTTCTGATCGGTCAACGACGTTGACTTCGCCGTGACGCCAGCTTTCCAGATTGGTTAAGTTTGTTCGATTCCGAGAAGATTTGATTTGCGGTCAATTGTTCGGGCCAGCCAGATCTACATAAATTTTAAGCAGTAAGTTTTCTTCATCAAACCTTTAGATCCGCTGCGCATAGGTTTATGTTGAATGTTTGTCCGTGATTTGTGCATATCGAGATCCTCATATGTCCCAACAGATTTTTCCAGCGAGATGGTGCAGGTGTCGACGACGGCTAATGATAATGAGTGTGTTGGTGGCGACGGCGATTCGGCGGCCGGCGGCGGCGAGTGGCGGTCCGGCAAAGAGCAGTGTGTGTGTGTGTGTTCTGTGTGTTTGTTTGTGTGTACAAGAGAATGAGAGAGGGGACCGGTAATTGGGGCGTATTAATGTGGTGGTGGGTCCCACATGATAGTAGGTTTAAACTAAATGTCCATATTACCCTTAATTATAGTCAAATACACATATTTAATCATAATATGATCAAGTAATTACCATATTGCCATTAATGATTGACCATACTTTGACTTCATCATAACCATTCACATGATTGATTCAAAGGTTTAGATTTATTCTTATTTCTTTCATTGTGCTTCTTTCTCATTTGAGCGTATCTCTCTCTCTCTCTCTCTCTCTCTCTCTCTCTAT